ATACAAAGGAGATTATAATACCAGATCAATTAGAAAAAAATGTTTCCACAATGATGCAACCAGAATTTGCAGAATTTTGTGATTTTGGAAATTTCGATTCAACTCAGTTTTTTGATTCTTCTGCTTTGAAAATAGAGCAAGATTCCAAAGAAAGCATTGTAATACCAAAATTAGAAAAACAAGACTCCATTATGGTAAAATCAGAGTATTCAAATTTTTCTGGATTTGAAAATTCAGGTAATAGTAACTTCAATGCACTATAGCCAAAGTGTTCTGATTCATCTAATTTAAACAAATCTTTTTTGAATTTAGTTTCTTTTTCAAAAATAAATACATTGGATAAACCTTTTTTTCAACCAATGATTGATGTTAATGATGAAAAATGCAAGATTAATAAAACTGACAAATATAAAACTTTTGAATTTGGAAAGCAGAATGAAAAGGTATAAATTTTTTGTTATTTTATTTGTTATTTCTTTGTGTTAATGTTACACCAAATTGTGCAGTATTTATTTCTTGCTATTAAAATCTTCATTGGTTTGATCTTATATAACTAAATGTTACTTACAACTCAAGAGACATCAAAATGTTATGAAGGTTTGAAAATTATACAGCTTATGTACAGTTTAATATATACATACATACATACATACGTACATACATACACACATACATACATACATACATACATACATACATACATACATACATACATACATACATACATACATACATACATATATATATATATACATACATATATATATATACATACATATATATATATATATATATATATATATATATATATATATATATATATATATATATATATGTATATATATATATATATATATATATATGTATATATATATATATATAAACATACATATGTATATATAAATACATGCATACATATATACATCAAAAATATATATACATATATATATATATATATATATATATATATATATATATATGTATATATATATATATATATATATATATATATATATATATATATATATATATATATACCCATATAGTGTAGTCAAAAGAGGCTTTTAATGTAAAAAAAAGTCTCTTTCAACTACAATTTTGCTACCTTGACAATGAAGCTACATTTTATTGTCGTTGAAATGTCAAAGCAGTTAAATTAAAGCGGAAGTGCATTAAATTTTATTGTTTTTTAAAATAACCGCAACAATATTAACTAGAAATTTTTTTTTAATTAAAAGTGTTTTTGTTGTTGTTTATTAAAATATATTTTTAAAACATGCGCCGAGTGTTGTTACATTAGCTATCTTATAGCCCGACTCGCAACAGAGTGCTGCTACATTGACTGACAAATAGCCTGACTTGCAAGGGAGTGCTGCTACATTGACTGAGGGTTTGGTTTGGGCAGGCAGTCTATCGTTTAAAAAAAAAAAAATGTTCAAGTTTATTAACGCGCTTTTTAAAAATACAGTTTATGGGAAAAACTTTCTGACTATTATGCAATATATATATATATATATATATATATATATATATATATATATATATATATATATATATATATATATATATATATATATATATATATATATATCAGGCTTGGTCGGGAAGCGGGAGCGATTGCTCTCGAATACTGACCACGGAAATTATATTTAGTTGCGAAAAACTGGCCAGGTTTTTTAGTCGTTTTGAGAACATTTAAGTTTATGTACGAAACAAAGAATTTTTGTTTTACGGGCATACATGGAAACATAACAAACTTGAATGTTCAAAATTGAATTGTAAAATTGTTTTAAGAATATATATTATTTGTTTACAAAAATAAATGTTTTAAATATATATTAATTAAATTGTTAAAATTTTAAAAGTTTATTATAAATCATAGATTTTATGAGTATATTCTTATTTTTTATTTTAAAAGAGATTGTATTTATGTAAAATGTAATTTTGTGTATTTGTTTTTTATCGTAATGTATCTCTTAAAGCAATTTTTATGATTTAAACAAAGACTTACAAAAATAATTGCGTTTTTAATGAAGTTATAATCGTTAAAGTTAATAAAACTAATTATGTAACAAACATATAAGAAGTTTCTGGTTACTAAACACAAACAACGCATACAAAGATGAACAAGCATCGCGCCTGAGGTCACGACAGAACACAAATATATAATAGCAAATATTTAGATATAAAGAAAAGTTTCTAGATATTGGTTTACTAACTCTAATTATTTTCGCTTAAGTTGCCATTCTTAAAAAACTCGTTATACTTTTTTCTGCTTTAAATACTAATTAAAATTAAAAAGCCCACTTACTAAACATCATTAGCGATACTGTGAAGCAGTTTTGCTTCCTGGTCATTAAGTGTTTTTAACCTTTTTAGTTGATTTCTATCTTGATAATTTAATTCCTATAATAATTCAATGATTTAATTTTTTCATTTGTTTATCTTACTAAGAAGAATTGCTTCAAATATGTTAAACTTTTCAAACTACGCGAAACATAAAATAGGTATTAAAAAAATTAACTTTCTTATTTATAAAATAAATTAAGCTTAAGTAAAACTAAAACTTTCAAATTTATTTAAATAAAGAATATTTGTTTCTCTTTTAAACAATCGTAAGTTGTTACTTTGTATAAAAAACATCGCTTAGTTTTATAAAAAAAGTTATAAAAAACCGATGTTTAGAAAATATTTGTTCTAAGTGTAATTTATTTAGCTTAAGTTTTTTTCGCGTTTAAAGATATTTTATTTGCCTACATTTTTTTTTTGTAATTGTCTCTCATCGGTTCAATTTATTTTAGTCGCTTTTTTTTTTTTGCTTTTTAAAATGTTCTCAAAACGACTAAAAAATCTGGCCAGCTTTTCGCAACTAAATATTATTTACGTGGTCAGCAATCGAGGGCGATCGCTCCCGCTTCCCGACCAAGCCTGTATATATATATATATATATATATATATATATATATATATATATATATATATATATATACATATATATATATATATATATATATATATATATATATATATATATATATATATATATATATATATATATATATAACTGCTAAGGTTTTTAAAGGTAGTTTATCAACAATGTGATATGTTTTAAAATGTTCATTAGCTCCTAAACTTGTCAGATTTTCATTTTTACTGGCTCTTTGGTATACAGCACTTCTTGAAATAATTTTTAAGTTTTATTTTCTAAATAGTTCTAGGTTTTATTTTCTCAGAATTATAGGCCAATAGTAGGCATTTAATTTAAGGAGTTGTTGTTTATCTAAATGTCAAGATAAAATATTTTTTGGGAGAAAAAAAATCGTCCAAATAGTTTTAAGTTATTTTATTAACTTTTTCCTGACATTTTTTAAAAAAAGATCTACAGTTGACTTATGATATCTGTTGTGATTTTAATGTGCGTCAATAATTTTTCAATAATTAGCTTTGCTAATTATTGACAAAAATAACACGTTGCATATTTTTATTATTATAACGTTTTGTATAACGGCCATTGTTGACAAGAGTCACACATTGTATTTTTAAATGCTATATATAATTTTACAAATTTTTTGTAAAAACGTTGAGGTTTTTGATAAGTAATAAAAACATTAAAAACAAAATGGCTTCTAAATGCATTTAACAACAAGCTAACCAGGCATGTCTATTATCTCCGCAATATGAAGATGGACAGCGAAAGCGATTTATTCGGCAGTTGACTTTTTTTTTGTGATGAACAATATTACTTCAGATCAATACATAGCAAACTTGCTTGCTACTCTGCCATCGAAGATTTACAAGACCATGGAGAAATTAACAGCATCTGAACTGCCAGAGGGCGTTTCGTATGAAGAGTTTAATGACAAAACTGGAAACGTTGGAAATTAGAAATTCGTTGTTAATCTCACGGTATGAATTTGGGAAAACTTATCGTGGCAATGAAGAATCAATACAGACATTTGCACATCAAGTGATCCGAGCAGCTCAAGAATGTAAGTTCTTGCCTTCAGAAAGAGACGATCGACTTCGAGATCATTTATTATTGGGATTAATGATGGTGTTGTTCTGTATGCCATTCTTCAAGGAGAAGATGTGTTGAGCTTTGACGATTGCGTCAAGACTGCATCTCTGATTGTACAAACTAGATTAGATGCGGCATGTTTATCTGTAAATGAAGAAGTAAATGCAAGTTACCGAACAACTGGGGCTGTAATGTCAAGTGAAATATGGAGAAAGAAAGAAATGCGATGTTTTAACTGCAAATCATTAAATCACTTTGCATGCGAGTGTACCTTTTTATGCAAGAAATGCCATCATGTTGTAACAATGGGCAAAATAATTCAATGTGAAGAAGTTGTTGCTAAAATATACTACCCAACAAATGGGTGCCTGGTGGATGCATTGGTGTTATGTGTGGATGAAGTAATAAACAAGTACGACATGATTATGGGTAAGGATCAAATACAGTCGTGTGATGAACTAAAAATTGGCACTGGAAAATTGAAATTCTGTAATTTTCTGATTAATCATCATCGACACATCGTGTTGTGACAATTGAAATTAAAACAAGCAAACCTTATTTTGATGTCAAAAAATGAATTGTAAGTTGGGAATGAGAGAACAAACCTAAAATGAAAAACCGAACAAGTCAATATAACGTTTTTAACCAACATCGTGAAGCATTCGACAACGAAATTAATGAATGGATCAAAGAAGGCATACTTATCAAATATGACAATAAAATTAAGGAAAAAGCTAAAGGATTACTACTGTTGATGTGCGTCATTGAAGATAATAAAAAGATAATAAATAAAGTACTACGATATGTTCTCCAACAAAATTCTGAACTTTCAAAATCAATAAGAGGATACATTGATGACACCTTAACTACCGCATTATATGCGGTAGTGGTGTAGTGGTAGAGCGCTCGCTTCATAAACGAGTGGTTCCGAGTTCGATCCCCACCACGTCCCTGGTAGTACCGCGCTCAACTCGTTTCTCCGCGCAGCAGCCTTGTTCGTCAAGGTTCGTGTTTCGGAGTTATAGAGTTGAGAGAGGGTTATAGCCACAAATAAGTAGCCTCTTCGTCTGTAGTGGCCTTCTCGGCCTTGAGGAGGTAAATTAAAATAAAAATAAAAAAAAAAAAAACCAATGGAAATGAAAAAAAGCTGGTGACACATATATAGAAATGGGGTCTTCACACAAAAACACCTGAATATTTTGGCAGTAAATCCATCTACAAAGGAAATATTTTGGAAGAGAGGACGCGAGATTCCCATTATAAATGTGCTCACTAAGAGGGAGATATATTTATATGGTAATCTGGTTGCTAATCTACCAGTTGCTGGATGGTTGAAACTCGCATACAGCTTTATAAAGAGATGTACAAATGAAGCAGGCTGTACCTATTACGAATAAGTACATTAATGAAATGATGAAGGAAGTT